TTTTCTCTAGTTACTGACACTGGGACTTAGACGGGTCTCCCAGGCCAACAGCTGTGGGTGTAATTCCACTTACTGTGTACACAGCTTAAAGAAATAAAGGGTTATTTCTCTAAAACAACGTTTTTCAAACATTATTAAGAAATTAGTAAGAAATACAGTTTACACAGCAATGCAGTAACAAATGCATACAGAACTATACACAGCTGAAGCTGAAGTCTAACGAAACAGTATTTTTCCTTATAATATGCAATGAACTCTCTTCTACTCAACTGCATTCTGTCTTCCCTAGGCGATTCCAGACACTTGTATTAAAAAAAAAAATTGCTGAACAAGACCCTTTAAATTGATTTCATACCCAGTGATGGGTCTTGATGTACTGAAGAAAAATACTGTGGGTATTCTCTATCCCTTCACTGATTTGGACCGTTGTCTCCTCAGTCATACTACAATAGCAAATACCTTGCAAGGCTGGGCTAAAACGTCTCTATGGCCAAATGGACGCACAGTTTTGAAATCTTGCTGTAGAAGTCCTGAGTGGCAAAAGGATACTTGATTCGTTACATCTAATTCATCTTTAAGAAAACACTATCTCCACTGAAAATCAGCTGCAAACATTTTCCTTTTATAAATGCCAAATTCATATGTTAAAGAAGTAATCTTACAATTCCTTTCCGTCAATGTACAAAAATCCCTAATGCATGGACCAACAACTTATTGTACTGACCCCTGTATTTGTTATAGGATTATCAAGAACAGATGTTGTGGACACCCAATCTTAAATGGAAAATATGAAAAACAAGCAAGCCAGCAAGTGAACCGGCCTCTTTCCAACAGTTTAAATCCTAATGTAGTTTTACTTAGTTAGCAAATATAGACGAGGCCTTCATAAGAACATTTGAAATGTCAAGAGGTTTTGGTGATAATATAATCCCATTAGTAATTATCAGGCTATCATCAGTATGTAACTTAGAAATAATATGAAACAGTCAAGTTCATTTCCAAGATGGTATTCAGAGGCCGACCCCATGCCATCTCTTCTCTAGAGGGAGTGGCTCGACCTTTCCTGAATAGGCCTGTATTTTTTGGTTTATTGCCTTTATCTCCACCATTCTCTCTGATTGGAATATCCTTAATCCTTATCTCCCTCTTATGAAAATTGGCCTATTTCAAGTTTCAGCTTAAAAGCCACCTCTTTGGGCTTCCCTGGTGGCGCAGTGCTTAAGAATCTGCCTCCCAATGTAGGGGACACAGGTTCGAGCCCTGGTCCGGGAAGATCCCACATGATGGGGAGCAACTAAGCCCATGTGCCACAACTACTGAACCTGTGCTCTAGAGCCCGTGAGCCACAACTACTGAAGCCCACGTGCTCTAGGGCCCGTGCTCCGCAACAAGAGAAGCCACCGCAATGAGAAGCCTGCACACCGCAACGAAGAGTAGCTCCTACTCCCCGCAACTAGAGAAAGTCCATGTTCAGCAACGAAGACCCAACACAGCCAAAAAAAAAAAAAAAGCCACCTCTTTCTTGAAGCCTCCCCACTCATCAAGCTGGAAAAAAAAAATCTCTGAAATCACCAATGGCTTGTTAACATCACTTGTGATATTAACTTCCCTTGACTTTTCAATATATTTATTCATGTATATGTTATATCAACGCTGATGGACCACGAGCTTCTTGGAGGGTAAAGGCTGTGTCTTACTTACTTCTTATCTCTTCCAACACCCTAACATCACCTTGTCATGGCAGGTGATCAAGAAGTATTTGTTGGGTGAGTGCACATTTTGAACAAGGGTGAAAAAGGGAACATATCTGAAACGGTGGCAGTGATACTACTCTAAAGTGACTGAAATACATACTCATGAGTCAAATAAAGGGAGACCCAGTACTGCTTTGGCTTTCCAAGTTATTCCTTTACAAATCTTTTCCCTTTTATAGTCTAAAGAGCAGGCATCATGTAGTCACTGGAATTCTATTTAGCAATTAGAGGTGATTAAGGGAGCTACTGGGCACCTGCTTTCAATATTATTCCAGGCATGGGAATCAGTAATATCCTACCTTTCCCAACACACTGCCTAATACCTTGATTTTGGAAGAGTCTGCCCAGCTTTCTTTGTGGTCTTGCTTTGCTAAGGTCTGCAGGGATTCCACACATTCTGTGGAGGTGTTGCCAAAAGAACAGAAATATTCTAGAGTGGGTTGGGTGGCTTCTCTGATTGAATATGTGGCTCTGAAGTAATCCTGTACCGAGGTCTAACTCTAGGTAAGCCTGACAGGTAACCAGTAAAATGAACAAGTAGATGCTGTAATCTTCGTTTAAGCAATTTGAATGATCTCTGAGATAGCTGAGTGTGTTTTGTAAAGCCCAGTAAAGGAAAGACATGAATAACGGTGGTTAGCCTAGAAGTAGGCAGAAATTCTATAATGGGGTGGGGGGTGGCCTGGGGACAGAGGGGTACAGAGAGTCGTGACCTCATTCAAAGCAATGCTGCCCCCTGTGGATACCAAGAGTCAACCTGTATCAACAGCTCTCCCTTCTCCTTAGTAATAAACAAGGAAGAACTTTCACTTCCTGTAATTTCAATTTGATGGTTGTTGCCCAGAAGACTAGGAAATGAGGTGAGGAACAGAGAGACCTCCAAAAAAAACCCAAAAAACAGGCCACCCAAGTGAAGTTATTATATTAATTCTCGCACTGTAGCTCTGCCAAGGGAAATGTGAAAATGAATTTGAAATGAGGTGCCACTATCCTGATATATGACAGCTGCAGGTATGCCGTGCCTGTATTCAGGCCATGTGAGGGACGCATATATCAAATAGTGCTGCTAAATGCTTCCCTTGGAAGTGGACGACAAAATGACTTTCTCTAAAGTCTTCTGCGCACAGTGTGAAGGAAAAGCTCATTTAAAAAAATCTGTAGTCACTTGTAAGTTAATCACCCTGGCAAGTATTTGTTTGCAGTTGAATTGTCAAACAGATAATAAAACAAGACAAACATGGTGTACAGAGGTCTCTCAGCAAAACTGCAGTAAATGTACCTCAGTAAAAATGGCAGGAGCATTCAAATGTACTATAGAATCTGAAAAACTTAAAGAAAGTGTTCAACGGTTCATTAAGAGCCTTATTTAAAAGTGACTTTGAGACTTAGGAGTGTCCCATTCATTGACGGGTTATAGTAACTGGCATTGAGCAGGTAGAGTAGGTACTCAATAAATGTTTCCTAATCAGTGAACTGCCAGGCTATTAAAAGTTCTGATAGGACTGATGTGAACACTGTTTTACACTCCCACTCAAGCATTAAGAAATAAACAGGAAGGGAACACTGAGTTCACCCAGACCCAATCTCCTCTGTTTATAGCGGCTCCAACTGCAACCTGCAGAGGTTGAAGAACTGGCTCCAAAATCCACAGAGCATTTCTGGTGATGCCAAGGCTACAATTCGGTTTTCTCACCCCTCAGTCCAAGGCTCGTCATTTTCTTGTTTTGCTACATAGAACTGTCTCTGTCCATTGTTAAACCTTGTACCCCTGAGGTGTCTGTGCAAACCTGGCTTTCTATAGACATTATTCTGCCTATGATTTTTGTTTACTACTCCAAAGTGATTTTTAAATTGAGGGCAATTTCAGAATCAGTGTTCTTATAGATGCATTTGCTGAGGATTTTTTTTTCCCCATAAATAGGAAGAGTAGGGAATCTGAAGTTCAGTTTTGAAGTGACATTGCTCAGACACATACTTGAGGTACACATTCTTCAGTATGACCACTGGGAGGTGGTATACTCATTAATATAAGCACACACACGTGCATGTGTGTACAGGTGTGTTTTGACAAAGTTTTCAGGATAAGAGATGAAATAGCTGCAGGAGGCACATCTTACCATTCACTTTTTACCGGAGTCTAACATGTTTTCCTGGCTTTAGGATGACAGACGGTCCTTTTATGAAACTGTCAGTCACGCTTACTTTGCATACGGATGGCTCTGTGGATGCCACTGCTTTCAAGATGATCAGGGCTAAGATTAAGAGTTTCTCTTTAACTAGAGAGCAAATAAGCTTTCACGGATTAAAAGATGCCTGCAATCAGATATTTCACATATATATAAATCGAATTTATATATATTTAAAATTTGCATATTTAAATATATATTATATTTATATTATGTATAAATATATTATAGATTTATATTATGTATAAATATAAAATTGTTTTGGGAGGATTCTTGGGAATGCGGTGAGATGACTGGGGGTGACAGGGAGAGGAAGTACAGTCTGATAGTTTAAACCATACTCAAGAGGTAGGTAAAACTACTTTTTTCCCTAGGGAAGTCTAGAAATACCACTACGGTGTTTATCTGATGATCATGTTTATCATTATTTAACATGCTTCCTAAAACCATTATTACATAATATGAATGACAAAAAAGACAGTGGATATTCTCCCTTGAAAAACCAAAATATCTAAATAAACTGAAATGTTCATAAGCCACTGGGATATTTAACAATGTTAAATTACTCTGTGTTTACACTAAATACTGTAATGGTTTCCTGATTGTTTTGGCCACGCCACATGGCTTGTGGGATCTTAGTTCCCCAACCAGGGATCGAACCCAGGCCCACGGCAGTGAGAGCACGAAGTCCTCAACACTGGACCACCAGGGAAGTCCCGATTTCCTAATCGGAAACAGTAAAAGCAAAATCTCTCAGAATTCTCCTGTCCTGATGTTATCTTTATCAAACTACTTTCCTTTCTTTGTGTGTGGGGATCGACTTCACAATGCCAAAGTCAGGCAAAATATTTCTTATGAAAGCAAAATCACGGTCTTTCCCCCGTGAGCCCTGATGAGTGGAGTACTGAGAAGTAACATTGGAAGAGTGTGGGGAGACCAAATTAAAAAGGGATGTTCAGGCTTTCCTGGTGGCGCAGTGGTTAAGAATCCGTCTGCCAATGCAGGGCACACAGGTTCAAGCCCTGGTCTGGGAAGATCCCACATGCCGTGGAGCAGCTAAGCCCGTGTGCCACAACTACTGAGCCTGCGCTCTACAGCCCGTGAGCCACAACTACTGAGCCCACGTGCCACAACTACTGAAGCCTGTGAGCCTAGAGTCCGTGCTCTAAAACAAGACAAGCCACCGCAATGAGAGGCCTGTGCACCACAACGAAAAGTAGCCCCCGCTCGCCGCAACTAAAAAGAAAGCCCGCGCGCAGCAATGAAGACCCAACACAGCCATAAATAAATAAATAAATAAATAAATAAATAAATAAATAAATAAATAAATAAATAAAAAAAATAAAATAAAATAAAATAAAATAAAATAAAAAGGTATGTTCAAGATCCTGGAGTCTCTGTGCTGGCAAACTCCTACCTGTTGTTAGGTGTCTGCCCAGTCATGCTTCCTCAGGACTAGGTCCCTCCAACCCAGGGTTAGGTGCCTTTTGTTTCCTTCCCCATGTCACCCGTACGTACTGCTATGGAAATGCTTTGCTGCCACTCTGCACTATCACTGCCCACTTACTTGAGTGTCTCCTCTACTGGGCTGGGGGCTTCTTAAGGACAGGGGTAATATCTAGAGCATCCTAAGCATCTTAGCTTATTTCCTGGAACACTTCATAAATATTTCTTAACAAAATAAATAGGCATTTTATATGTATTGTCTAACTTAACATTCATAACAAGTTCCCAAATTATAACCGTTATTTTATTTTAATGAGCCAGTAAAAAAACAAAACAAAACAAAAAAAGACAGAGAGAGAGAGAGAGGAAGGATTACTGAGCTGCAGAATTTCCTTTGTTCTGCCATAATCATCCTCCCTCCCGGGTCTGGATATAAGAACAGGACCTTGACGGCAGATACCACCACACGATCCTGGGTAATGGGCATATTATGACCAGGTAAGTAACGCTTTTTTGCTATGTAAGCGTCCTTCATAGGATAGGGGATCTACAGGAGTTAGTAATAGGAAAGATGGTTCTAAGACCTGCTAAGTAGGTCAAATTAGGAAACTTACTTCAAGGGTTAATTATAACCTGGATGGAAGCCATGTGGCACAGTTGTGGATTTCTGAAAACCAAAACTGCTGACAGCACTTGACCAGGAGTCTGGTCTGCCCCTATGGCAGAGACCTGTCACTGTCCAACCGAATGGGTTTCTCCCTCCTCCTTTAATAACAGAATTGTAGCCAGAGGCCTGACTTCCCAGCTAGACTCCATGTCCAAGCATCTCTTGAAATTACATGTGACCATCTGACTGAATTCTTACAAACGGGACATGCCAGTCTGGGTCTGGGGCTTAGACAGCAGATATAATCCCACATGCTGTCCTCTACTTCCCGCTGACTGAAACCTGATGGGGTGGTGACCCAGCTTCAACTGCCCACTTGATAACCATGCCTAAGGAATGTGGAGCGATGACCTGAGGGAACCTGGGCTCCTGACTGGCCACCAGCAGCAGACCTGCTGGGCTGAACTGGCTTGCTTCCTTAGAAAAGAAATTAGCGTCTATAACTCTTTAAGCCCCTGAATTTTCAGGACGCTTTCTTATAGCAGTTGAGCTTTCCCTTAACTAATAAATTCTCTAAGGAAAAACTTGAAGTAGGAGGAGATGGTGGCCTCATTTCCCCTTCACATTTCTGAGCTTCAAGTTTCCTTATCTGTAAAATAAGAAGGGTAACTGAAATCCTTTCTGGCTCCAAAATTCTATGATTCATCATTATTCTCCTTCCCATGAGACCTATCCAATCCCACCCTAATAAGCACTCTGCTTCCTCAAGTTTGCTTTCACTGGGCCTTGTCAAAGTCTGCTCCATGGCTTTCATTTACACTGATAACAGCTTGTTATCTCAACTTGGAGCTTGTGTCATTTACTGAGGATCAAAGCCTTAAATTGAGCTCATATTTGAAAGTTCAGGTACCAACTGGAATTGATGAGATTTTGGAAAGGCAAGGACTCCATGAAATTATTCTATTGAAATGGAACTTTCAAGTTAAGCTCTGCTTGTATTAAAACATAAACATGCTGTAAATTTGTAGTAACTGTCTTCTAACAGACTAAAATCTATCCTGAGTACTACAAACTGCACCCCATTTATTTATTTTTATCAGCAAAGGAATCATCCTCAAGGACGTTTGGTCACATAATGATTTCTCTCACTTCCGGCTACCCCAATAATTTACCTTTACCAGACCTGCAAATCATCATCAACTTTCTACCAGTTTAAAAATCTCTTCCCCATGTTTCCACAATTACTCCCATACCACTGAGTCATTTTCTCTCCCTTTCTGCCTGGTCTCTAGCTCATAAATAACTTCCTATTAGGAAGAGAACTGCTAATATGACTTTCACATCTGTTATCTCTTAGAGCCCAGTATCTGCTCTTATAGGCTCAGGCCTCCAATTCTTACCAGCATAGAAAATACTCACTACATTATTTTCTACCACTACTACCAAGCCATGAGCTGTCACCACACAGCTCTCACTGCCTCCTGGATATCAACTTGTATAAGGACCTTATCAACCAAAACTGCATTTCTGGCTTCTACCAGCTGTGTGAGTCCCTGAGCTACACAAATGTTCTCCAATTTCACTAGCTGCACACAAACCTCCCACTGGCTTATCGATTTTTTCAATTTCCAAGAGTCCAATAACTAGCTCCAGGCACACTTGAAGTCCTTTTTTAGTTCTTCCCAATCAACATACAGCTCCCCAACATATAAATATCACACACATTTGAACTGCTTTGAAATTTTCTAAGCCTGCTAAATCCATATATGTCCCTAAAAGCTAAAAGCAAAATTCTAAAAGATACAAATATCAATCGTTCCAACTATAATAGTTCTTGATTAACTACTTAGTCTAAAAATATTATGTAAATTTAAGTCAAGTCAAAGTCAAAAAGTTTATTGGAAACCTCAAGTACAAAGGATTATTTCCCTCCAGCAGTGGGGGGCACCTTTAAATGTCCTTGCTATGCAAGGACATTTGCCCTACATTTTCTTTCAGAATTTTATTTTTACCCATTTTCAAATTATCCTTTCCTTTATACAAGTTGCATGTGTTTTGACATGATTTTCCTTAAAGTTACTCAGCATAGGCATCAACATGTGAGTTAAAGCAGCAACTCAATTAAAAGCCCTGAACACATTACAAACGTTCTGAACACTATGCCAAGGAATTCATTCAAGAAACATTTCACAAGGAAAAAGTAGGTGTACATTTAGATGGCATAAATGATATGTATGGCACATGTTTTGTTTAAATTTTAATTAGTTTATTTCTGGCTGCATTGGGTCTTTGTTGCTGCTTGCGGGCTTTCTCTAGCTGCAGTGAGCAGGGGCTACTCTTCGTTGTGGTGTGCGTGCTTCTCACTGCAGTGGCTTCTCTTGTTGCAGAGCACGGGCTCTGGGTGCATGGGCTCAGTAGTTGCGGCATGAGGGCTCAGTAGTTGTGGCATGCGGGCTCAGTAGTTGTGGCTCGTGGGCTCTAGAGCACAGGCTCAGTAGTTGTGGTGCATGGGCTTAGCTGCTCCGCAGCATGTGGGATCTTCTTGGACCAGGGCTCCAACCTGTGTCCCCTGCATCGGCAGGCGGATTCTTAACCACTGCACCACCAGGGAAGTCCCAACACATCTATGTTTTAATGGTTACTAAATATCAAAGTACTAATTTCTAAACTAAATTCATTGCTATATTTTGAAATGAAAATTACATATACAAGGTAAAAAAATTTTAACATCAAAAAATATACAGAGACTTCCCTGGCGGTGCAGTGGTAAAAAATCCGCCTTCCAATGCAGGTGACGTGCGTTCAATCCCTGGTCAGGGAACTAAGATCCCACATGCCGTGGGGCAACTAAGCCCGTGTGACACAACTACTGAGTTTGCACCTCAACGAAAGAGTCCATGTGCCACTGACTGCAGAGCCCGTGCAGCCTGGAGACTGTGCACCACAACTTGAGAGAGGAAACCCGCACGCCGCAACTAGAGAGAAGCCTGCACGCTTCAAGGAAAGATCCTACACGCCTCAAAGAAGATCCCGCGTATCGCAACTAAGACCCGACACAGCCAAAAAAAAAAGAAAAAAAATACAAAGAAAAATAGGAATTCCTTCCACCCCAGATCCATATTACTTCCCATTTTTTCCTGTAGCATTTCAGAAAAATGTTATGTACATACAAACATATAATATGTATTTAGGTATATATAATTTTTAGATAAATGGAAGTATACTATATGTATTGTCTATGCTTTGTTTTCACTTAATTATATGCTTTTGAGACTACTCTATGTTAGCACACGTAAACCTAGCTTACACGTTTTTTAAAGAGCTTGAATAATTTTCTGAGTCAGTCATTTTGATCTCAAGACCAAAGATCAAGATGATCTTTTCATCTCTGCACATAAGTTTTTGTACAAATGTGCACAAATAAGTAAAACTGCTGAGGCAAAGGATGTGTATTTAAAATTTTGAAAGATATCCAAAATTTCTTTCAAAAGAGACTGCTGTATATTTAATTTAAAAAACAAATCATGTTGTTTGTAAAGACTAAAAACAGCCCATTAAAAAAAAATACAGATAAAAATAAATAAAAGAACTCAACAGAGTGTCCTTAGGATATGAACCAATCTGGATATGTACAAAGTACTTTCTTGGCAGAATTCTACAGACCGCCCTTGAAAATACATATTTCAGATTTTATAGATCAATGTTATGTTTTACAGATCAACGTAAACATGGCATTCAAAACAACGTCATGCAAATTTTATCAATAATGCAAACCTAATGCCATTATGTGCAGAGCAAAACTCGATTTTACGGCTCTATCGTTAAACATTTTAGTAAATCGTTATTTTTTGGCTTTTCAATGAGTAATTAGAAAACACCTGGATGTTAAATGAACATGACAAATCCGAAGTCGTCTTCTATAATTTCCGTTAAATTCAATCATAGCAAAAGTGAACTTTCTTCATGAGGTATTTTTCAAAACAAAACACAAAGCTGGGATATAGTCCCTTGCCAATCAGGATTCTGAGATAACATGTTTTTCTTCTCATATGCCAAATATTTAAAAGCCCCTGTTCTGCTCGGGTTCCTTAATCAACAAGTGCAGGATGTGACTCTAATTACTACTCGCTCTACTGCAGACGTGAGGCAGGTCTGTGGAACAGGGCAGAGGATGGACTGACTTACGCACCCTCCTTTAATACGTAACCCAGGAAACCAGGCCCTCAACCCTGGGATAACTTAGGAAAAGGCCAGACCGTGACACAGATATTTTCCAGATAGCTAGAAGAATGAAACAAAGGAAAAGGCTAGTAACAGAAGCACAGCAGCTGGTTGGAAACTTTTGAAAATGTAAAACGAAGCTCAAGATTGCAACGTGTGTACTGAATAAGGTAAACCATGAAAAGGGAGCAAGGTTTTCGCTCCCTTAGCCTTCAAGAACTATGACATGCTGTGATAAGAATATTCTATGGGCAAAGCCATTTAAACTGTTTTCCCCCTAACCCTGTTTTCTGTGAGGCAATGATCTTGCCTTCTGTGATTTTGCTAATTGCTGTACTTTTCAAGGAGGTAACTCTGACTTTGGTGAGGGATTACTGTATTGTGAGAGATCAAATGTGAAGACATATCATTTACATTCATCACAAGGGTAAACAAAAACGGTTACTCTGAACATTACTGAGCTGTACAAATATAAAGTTGAAAATGTCCTGCCTGGTGGGATGATTCTGTAAACAGACAGACATGGAGTGAAAAGCAAAGCACAATGGTAATACAGCCACAATTTACCGAGGGAGAAGACAGGTGAGAAACTGTGTGAAAATCCGTAAATGATTATCAGCCTTGAGCACTGCAAGCTGCTCTGGGAAGCCTATATAAATGTTCCACTTAAGTGCTATTTTTATACATTCTGCAATACATTGCTATAAAGTAGTAGTATCTTGTTAGTAATTCTGGTTTCCTTTTGTTTGTTTGTTTTTTTGCGTGCGCGGGCCTCTCACTGTTGTGGCCTCTCCCGTTGCGGAGCACAGGCTCCGGACGCGCAGGCGCAGCGGCCATGGCTCACGGGCCCAGCCGCTCCGCGGCATGTAGGATCCTCCCGGACTGGGGCACGAACCCGCATCCCCTGCATCGGCAGGCAGACTCTCAACCACTGCGCCACCGGGGAAGCCCCAGTAGTTCTGTTTTAATTGCAGGCTTATGTATCATTGGTACTGTTCAGTACAAATACTAGTGAAAGTGAAAGTTGCAAAAAGGTTAAAAATGGTTAGCTGGTGCCCAGATTTTATCCAACACCATGAGAAAAGGTAAATAAGAATTCACATCATTCTACTGTGGAAAAAGAAATACAAAGCTATGTCCCAAACTAGAAAATAAGATTTACGTCAGGGAAATATCAGGCTTCTGAACTAAATTTTTATATAATTACAGAGCTTAAGGATTATCTGCATACATTTAATGCAACCTCTTAATTTAATGATAAGGGTACCAGGACTTGGATATTAAATGACTTTCCCAAGATTAATGGGTAAACTAGTGGAATTCTGTTTTCCTTATCTGGAGCCCAAGGATCGTTCACAAGAGCAATATAATATCTTGCTCACTTCCAGAGTTTCCTATACTCATGGAAGAAGCTACACTACCCTAGGCCCTAGCACACTCTAGGACAGTCTGGGAAGACTTCCTAATAGTAATAAGTGGCAACATGGGGAATTAGATTAAGTACCAGATGGGGAGTAAAAGCCTGGCTTCATCGGTAACTAGCAGTGACTTTGGGAAAGTTACTTAACCTAATTGGATCCCAATTTTCTCATTTTATAAGAAGAAGGTCAAAAGAGGTGAACTCTAACCTTCGGTTCTGACATTTTCTAAATGTGATCACTTTATCCAAATTAACACAAATACCGTATTTTTGTGAAGCAACAAGTCTCTGTCAGGACAACTTTGGAGTTTACCTTCATCTTTATGCAAATACTTCCTGCTGTAGCTCGAGTACCATCTAGTGGACATTTGGCTGACTTGACAGCCAAGAGTAATAAAAATCTGAATTTACAAAAGTGCTAAAAAGAATTATTTATCTATTTTAAAAAAAACCGAAGGACTGGAAGGGCATCCAAAGGTCGTACTGATCATTCTCCCTGACTTCACGGTGGATCAAAAATAACTATCACTGACATATGAGAATCTATCTTCTTATTACTGAAGTGATTTGAGCGCCATTATTAGTATGCTAGAAGAACAATGACTTCAAGAAGTTGATATCACTTATGGAGTGTGAGAAAATATTTGCAAATCATATACCACACAGTTTAATACCTAAACTATATAAATAACTTACAACAGCAACAAAACAGCAACAAAAACCTGAGTCAACGGAATTGAAAAGACATTTCTCCACAGATGACGTACAAATGGCCAATAAGCACATAAAAAGATATTCAACATCACTAATCACTAGGGAAATCAAAATTACAGCGAGATATTATCTCATATCTATTAGGATTGCTACTATAAAAACAAAACAAAACCCAAAATAGTAAGTGCTGGGCAAGGATGTAGTGAAGTTCGAACCTTTATACATTGCTGGTGGGAACATGAAGTGGTACAGCCACTATGAAAGACAGTACGGCGGTTTCTCAAAAACTTACAAATAGAATTACCATATAGTCCAGCAATTCCACTTCTGGGTAAAAGAAAGAATTGAAAGCAGTAATGCAAAAGAACTGAAAGCAGGAACTTGAACAAATATTTATATACCCATTTCACAGTAGCATTATTCAAATAGCCAAAAGGTAGAAACAACCCAAATGTCCATTGATGGATGAATGGATAAACAAAATGTGGTGTACACATACAATGAAATATTATTCAGCCTCAAAAAGGAAGGAAACTCTGACATATACTATCAATACATGGGTGAACCTTTAAGAAATTATGCTAAGCAAAATAAGTCAGTCAAAAAAGGACAAATAATGTATGATTCCACTTATGAAATACCTAGAGTAGTCAAATTCCTAGAGACGGAAAGTAGAATGGTGATTGTCAGGGGCTGGAGGAAAGGGGTAGTAGGGAGTTAAGGCTTAATGGGTTCAATTTCAGTTTGTAAAGATGAAAAAATTCTGGAAATGGATGGTGGTGATGGCTGTACAACAATGTGAATATTCTTAACACCACTGAACTGTACACCTAAAAAAATGGTAAAATTTATGTATTTTTCACTATAGTAAAAAAAAATTGGTATCAGTGTGAAGCAAAAGGTCTGTTTTTAAAGAAGACTCTTGTTGCCTTAAAACTTTTATTTTTAAACTCTCCTAGTTCTTTTCCAGTGCTTTAGAGTTCAGATATAATACATCATTAACTCAAAATGCATATGGAGAGAGTGAATTTTTCTTGATAACTGTTGAAACACTTGCAAAAGGGGAAGGTGTACTTTCAGGAATCTGGGAGAAAGAAAACAAATATCATCAGCCCTTGTGATTGTTGACTAATAAACAATGCACATCTGATGAGACTTCTGGGTATCCCCGACTTTCTGAGTTTGATCCAGAAGGGAGAGGTGCTAACCGTGCAAATGCTCACTCTCACTCTGTTTCAGGCTGGGCTCAGCACCAGGGGGACATCCAACCATGGTGCTCTGATGCCGAAACGCCAGTTATGTAGTTTTGCTGCCACTGTCTGAAGCCCAAGAGCAGTGTAAGCTAGGGACAGCTGGAGCTGCCTCTGCTGGAGGGGACCAGCATTCTATAAAGAGTGACTGCCTCTGAGTGAGTACCCTTTGCTCTTGCTTTCAACAAGGTAGCTGCATGGGATCTCTGGGGGAGGGGGGGGAGGGCTACAAAGAATGGCTGTCCTTATTAGCAAAAATTAATTAACTTTAGGTTCTGATAAGCCCTTTCCAGCGCCTTTCCCTTCCGAAATACTCTCTGTGCTCCTGTACTTAAGTTTCTCTACAAAATCTACCTTTGGGAAGAGATACTGGGCAAATGACATAACCCTAATATGTAAGTGTCAGGGGAAGCTTGATGTGTGACTGGCATTTTAAAATGAGGTCTGACAAAAGCCAAATGTAGGAACCTTCCTTAACTTTGGAATTCCTGATGTCAGTGAGCTGGAAAGGGGACGAACTGGGAGAAGGTATGGTGGTCCTCTGGGTTCCTCTAAAGCCGGGTTTTCCAACCTCGGCACTGTTGACAATTGGGGCAGGATAATTCTTCATTCTGGGGGGGTGGTCCTGTGCATTGCAGGATGTTTAGCAGAACCCTGACCTTTCCCACCAGATGCCAGTGGCACC